GTGCATTTAACAAACCCTTTTCTTATTTTTTTCAACATTTCTATTCTTTGCGGTTCATCTGAAAGCTTTTCCAAATTGTCAAACATTTTCTAAAAATCCACCTGCAAGTGAACACTTGCATTTCAAAGTGTTGTCAAGGGTCGTTATGCTTTAGATCTAAAATGTCCCTCCAAAGTCTCCTGCTTTCAGCCTCTCATGGAGTCTTAGAAGGTGACTGGATCCTGAGGGCACCATGCTTATCAGTAGATTTTTACAGCTGAAGGTGCTGTTGAGGGGTGGAGCCTGGCGAGAGGAGTGGGACACGGGGGCATGGCCTGAAGGGTGCATTCCCGCCTCTGCTTCTTGGCTACCTTGAGATGAGCAGCTTCCCTCATGGAGACCTTTCCACCACGCTGTTTCTGCCGTGGCGCAACCAAACATGGACTGAATCCTCAGAGGCTGAGAAGGAAGGATCATTCCAAGAGACCAGCCTGGGCTACAAAGGGAGCTCAAGGCCAGACTGTGCTATACAGTGAGGCCCTTCTCAAAAAGACAAAAATACTCAACAACAACAACAACAACAAAGTTTTCATTTTTCCAAATTACTATACAAATTATGTGATACTTTTTATCGCTTTAATATTTTTAAATGAAAAATGAAATCAAATTCAATTAGCATACACTATTTTCCCCTATAGATCTATGTAAAATAAAAGGCAAAAAAAAAGGTAAGTCAACATCCCTAAAATGTTAGGGAAACAGCATGAATATCTAGGCTTGGAAACTATATATTTTTAAAATTTTCATTCTGACACAATTTCAGATTTACAAAATAGTTGCAACAATAGTACATGTAGTCTTCACCCAGATTACTCAAATATTAATGTTTTATCATACACGCTTTCTTAGTTTCTGCTTTTCTTTTAATGAAGAGGGAATAAACTACAGACATGATGCCCTTTATTTTTAAAACTTGTAATATGTATTTCAAAAAAAAATCAAGTTGGTACTATTTTTTTTTCAACTTGTTAAGCAATCTTGATGAAATTCATTTAATCTTTCTCAACTATCATCAATAATCACTAACACAAAAAATTATAATATAATGTGAATAATGAATCTGTTAGAGATACAAATGAGCTAATGCAGGGGAACTACTAGCTATGAGAATAAACAGATGGTTATTATTATTATTATGACTATTTAGCAGTAGTACAATCATTTAAAAAGTGGTTAATTACTCACAGTTTGGGTTTCACTATGTAAATATTAAGAAGATGCCATTGGTCAAGTAATGGAGACAAGCTCATAAAGTGAGAAGTCAGATCCACTATTGACAATAGTACTTTCTTTTTCTTTTTTTCTTTATATTAGAAAAATACAAAACAGCATAAAAACAAAGTAAAATGCCCATAACTGCCCATCTCTTGACAATATACATCCATATAGCAAGAGGTGACATTCTCTTATAAAAGTTCTTAATCACTCACAATAGTGGTGGCACCCTGTACATCTTTCAGCATATGGAGATGAGCAAAGGTGTTTTCCCGGTAACACCTCTCTCTGCTTAGTGCCCCTACACTGACTTCTGCTACTGGCAGAAATGGCACACTTTGTTCATCTTTTCAAAAGCCAGTTTGGCAATAGATGAAAACCTAAAAATATTTTAAAACCTTTGACCCAATAATTTATCACTAAGAAATTATTAAAGAGATAAGATGTACAAAAATATTTACATTTAAGGAAAATCCATGTTACATTTTTTACTGCAGGGGCCAGGGAGATTGCTCAGTAGAATAAGTGCTTGCCTGGCAAGCGCAAGGGCCTGAATTCAATCCCCGGTTCCACAAAAAGAAAAAAAAAAAATTTTACTGCAGAGCGATTTAGAAATATATCATGGAGTCTATGGCCTTATCACCCTGAATGGGCCCAGTCTTGTCGGATCTTGGAAGTTAAGCAGGGTTGGGCCTGGTTAGTACCTACATGGGAGAAATATGTAAAAACCCTTTCCTGGATCATCAAGGAACCATTAAGAACCATGCATTTCGGGCCAGGGACATAGCTCAGTGGTACAGTGCCTATCTGGCAGGTTCTATTCCCAATACCAAAAAGAAAAAACAGGGGCTGGGGAGACAGCTTGGTGGTCTAAGTACCTGCCTGGCAAGGGCAAGGACCCAAGTTCGATCCCCAGTACCACATGCCAAGCTGGTCCCAGAACCTCAGGTGTGCCCAGCTGGCCACCGAAGCCAGGATGATGGTGCATGCATGTAATCCCAGCACTGATGAGGCTGAGATAGGAGGAATTCAAGCTGCATAGCAAGACCCTGTACCAAATAAATAAAGATTTTTTTAAATACTTAAAAGAAAAAACAGCCACCATGCATTTCAAAAATAGCTTAACATGGGAGAAATATTCAATATAATGAGGAAAAATCTGCATAAAATTACA